AAAGGGCATTATCCGACTTTAGTAATGGTTTTGAGGGCTGTTATCTATGAAGGAGTGACCGAATCATATTTTTGTGAAAAAGTCATCAAAACATCGGCACAAGTGTATCAAAATATCATTTTCGAAAAGGTACGTAAGACCATTCATAACACAATGTTTAATAAGTCCTTTCAACAACTCGACGACTCGGCGCCACGTTCCGGACTTCATCAGAGCTCAAGACTAGCCGTCATTTAGTCCAGATTTTAAGCCGCTGAATTATGATTTTCAATGAATCAATCAATCAATCATAGTCAGAGTTAATTATAATCAGAGTAAGGCTTGCTCTTAATGATGGAGTCCCAAAAAAAAAACAATCCATGGAAAGAATTCGTGCGTCTTTTGACAACTGGCCTCAAAGTTTAAAAATACTATATTGCCAATGGAGACCATTTCATATAAGTTATTAGTTAATTTAATGGGTTTACATTAATAAATAATAAATATAGCGTAATAATAAATAAATATTGAACTAACACACTGTAATAGTAATAAATGATACGTTCAATAAAAATTTTTTTGAATTTCTATGTAACAATATTTATGGCAAGACTATATATATTCTTCTTGAGTAAGACCTTTTATGAATCAAGTACATAAATTCATATTTAAAATCAATCTGATTTTATTAAAAATCTCCATAGAAACAAAAATTTGGACAAAACGAGGTTTGAGTGTTATTTAATTACCCATCAAAATGTTTTTCATTTAATAAAGCCAAAAATATGGCCATCGCGTCGTCGCCACCGGCATCATTGTCGATCAAAAGATTCTTCTTGTGCAATGGACTGAAATGAAAAAAAAAACACAAATTGAATATCCATCTATAATGTAATGTTGTTGTTTTCAGTAGAGAATTTACTAATTATTATATTTTGTTTAATTTTGCATTCACAATGCCACACTGAAAATTATTTTGAATACAAAATGCTTAAAAAATCCACTTGGTCCCTGGCACCCTGAGATGGGAAACGAACCCACGACCTTTCGCAATTAGGGCGACTGCTCTAACTGCTGGCTACCCAGGACCTAAGAGGATTGACGAATCTTTCAAGCATTTTGTATTAAGGAGAATTTACTAGACATGCATGCCCGCGGACATTGCCGGACCTCATTCAGCGGACATGTCTGGCAAGACCTGTGGTCGGAATCATTACGCAGACGACGACAAACGAGGTCTAGCAGGCATGTCTGCAGACATGTCCTCAGGCATGCCTGTCTACTGAACTCCCCGCTTTCGTAAAAGTACAATTTTTGTTTGATTAGTTCTGATTTCAAGATGATTGGCTAAAGAAGTATCTTAAACATCTGACCCGAGAAATATATAAAAAAAACATTTTTCATATTGATTTCTCATATTTCACTCGCGCTATCCATAAATGAAACAATTTTTAAACAGTTTCATCACGTTTATATTTTTTCTTTTAGAGACGGTTCGGCCCCTTTACACATTCACATAAGACCAAGTTTTGATTGTCTTTTTAATTGAAAGTTTCTTTATTAAAACTTCAAAAAATTCTATTCGACTCATTCCTGTAAAGCATGGGTGGCCAACCAGTCGATCGCGACTATCGTACTGGGTTTCGTCAGTGAAAAGTCGATCTTGGGTCTAAACAACCTCTGCTGTAAAGGTTCTGAAACTTCAATAAAAGAAAAATACAACTGCGACGAAACTGTTTAAAAGTTGTTTCGTTTAATCAGTTGAGAAAAGTTCCGAGACGGAGACTCCTTGAAACCAGCGTGAAACTCAAATATGGAGATTGTAACTATTATAGGATTAAATTTTCTACTAAAAATGCGACAACTGCAGATTCTTCAAGATTTTGGTAACATTGTGTTAAGTAAACACATAAGTAATAGCAATAGCAGCTTATCTAAGACATATGAAAGCAAAACTTTTCATAATTGAACAATATAAAAAAGTAATAAACATCAGCAACAACTTTACTGTTAACAAGTTATTGATGGTTAGTCTCTACAAAAGATGAAAATAAAAATCATTATTTACCAAATAATGATTAGACAAGATATTACAACTTTAAATAACCAGTATTTCATCAAATATAATATAAAACATCTTATGTATAAAAATTGAGTTTAATCTTTAGAGTATGATAATAAATCTTAGAAATAATCACTTACAATTCACTATCGGCAGCGACAAAACAAATATAGTAAAATAAAATAAATCTTAATAACATAACGCAACCTTACTCAATTACGTTCAGTAATAAACTAGCAAATCTAATGTTAGCAGTGCAAGATGATAAAATCAAAACACTTCCTTTTTATATGTAGACAGACAGATAATCTGTCTGATAAGTCAATGATAAATTCAATAATTTACTTACATAAGTATTTAATGTGATGAATTCGGCAATATCATTGACTTATCAGACATATTTTCTGTCTGTCTACATATTAAAAGGAAGTGTTTTGATTTTATAATCTTGCACTGCTAACATTAGATTTGCTAGTTTATCACATTAGTATTGACTAATATAGACTTATATGTATTGACGTAGTTAACTTAGAACTTTGTAATGAACAAATTTTGAGGTCACGTATTTGGTAAATACTAGGAAGATTTGAGAAACTAAATCAGGGGTTCCCCTTTAAGTTCTGTGACATTGACTACAGTTAAATGATGGATTACCGTACGTATTCATATACTGTACCTACTCAATATTTCTGATAGCAAACAATAGGTATATATAATAAATGCACTTTCAAATATATATCAATTCATTTGATCCGATAAAATATATCTCGAAGAGACAATCAAAAGTTAATTAAGTTGATAACAACAACAATAATCCTTACATTTTAGATGTAACAGTACCAACAAGATAAAAGAATAATACCTAACTCACTAATTTCTACTATACATTTTGTCACTCAACCGCCCATTTAGATACTATTAAATTTAATGTTAGCTGTGATCCACAAGTGAAGATTAAATATCGAAACACATCATATTAATAGACAAACGCTATCCCTATTATGTATCAATTACAAGTAAAGCTTCTTTTGAAATTGGCCGAATTAATAATATTTTAAAACAATGGCTTTCTGTATTGACAGAACATTTCACTAGTCTTATATATTTTCTAAGTATTGATATCAAACAGAAATCATTTTAATGGGAGTCCTCCTTCAAAGTTCCTTTGTGTCACTGCCATTTATTACAAACGACATTGATAGACATTCAATAGCAAAAATACGAGAGTTTTGTATAATTTTTGACTACAATGAATTTGGAATGAGTATGACAATGTTTGATGAAATTTAATGAAAGCCACGCTACCTAATGAGATAATATCTAGAGTAATTTTAATTATAACAAGGATAATAATAAACAAAGAGAATAATAGAAGAAACTATCTTGCAAGAACGAATACACAATATATTTGGAAATCAAATAAAGAGATCAGTATTACTTACCTTCCACAAAGCATATTTAAGAACATCAAAATCTAACAATAACACAACAATGTATAAATATACTGAAACATAGAACTTCAATTCAACATACTTAATTATGAATGATTTAAGTCTTAAACCAAATATAATAATGACATTTTACATCAGCTGTTTTGTAAACAAAAGGGTATTGTAGTACAGATAATCCAAAATGACTACCGCACGAACTCTGACGCATATGTCACATTGGCGGAAGGGACTCTTGTCGTCCTTATCTAACGGATGCCGCAAATGAAAGAGACAGTCTCTAGCAATCATATTGCCGATTCAATTTGACTTCTATTATATAAACATGACGGTCGGTAGTTAATTTAAGATAGCGTCTTAGTATGGAGTGTCGATAAAATAATATTTCTCATATATAACTCTCGCTGTATTGTAAGTATGAAAATAGGTGACCTTATCATATGATTATCTAGAGATACCAGATTAATATAGTTGCGCTAAAGGACATATTTTAATGTTGAATGCAATGTTGTTTTTGTTGTGCAGTAGAGAGATTTTTTTTTAAATGGTTTAGCCAAATTAAAATGTAAATAAGACAAATATTAAGTTTTTTACTATAATACTTTATTGATATTGCATAGATAACTTTGTCATTATGCAAAGATAATCCTGGCTTATAATTTCTACTTTAAATTATAACTCTTTCTTTTGTTTCCGGTCGATAAATATTGATTTGAATTTGAGCTCTTATATGATTTTCACTGTAACTTTAATAGTGTTTCTATTCCACTATCAAATATAATCAATTAATAAAGGGTAGGGTTTTTGTTCCGCCAGTAATTCTTAAGATTTGTTGAGTTTGTAAAGGAACTCTACGATTTTGTTTGATCCAATGATATTTTGGTTTCACCAGACAAATTCCATCACCGGAGTCAACGTACATTGACATCTACGTACGGCTTACATAATGGATGAATGGCAGTCAATGGGGTTTGTGACGAACATTTACTATACGGATTGTATTTAATTTGTTAGTACAGAGTAGTAGAATAAAGTAGCTCGGTGGAGTTGTAGGTAAACGCAGCGGCCCGCGATATAAGCAATTTTCGCAATGGTCTGTCACGGGATGGGTGACCAAAATTTTTTATTTCGGGCTACTCCGTACTTCGGAAGAAACGTTAAGACGTTGATCCCGACTGCATTTGCAGTCGTCAATACCCTCCAATCTGCATTGGGCCAAAGTCATGACCCATTCTCCTTAACCATCCAAAAGGAAGGCCTGAGTACAAGATCATGCGTACAAGACATAAGCAAAATATTTTTGTATTCTAAATTATTTAATGTTAGCAAATTGATAATCTTCTATAATCTTCTTTACATTTTTTTATCTTCTTTTTTGTCTGCCTCGTATATACCAAATCTTGCTTGTCAACAGTTCAGATAGTTGTCAAATATCAACCTAAATTAAATTAAAATATATTAAACAATTTAAAATATAAATGAAAGTGCGTTTTTTTAATACGATTATTTATTTATGCGCCACGACTCATGAGGTCTATTAAGTACTGCCGGTAGTCTTCATCGTTGAATGAATAAATAACTCTCACATTGGCCTCTTCTTTTTCTACAAATTTATTAGTATTAATTCCTTTGTAATCACCTGTAATAAAAAGAAAGTATGACTTGTACAGTTGTCTATATTCTATTTATATCTATACTATTTGTAGGCGACTGGCTGGAAAGCGCCACCGTTTTATATTAATTTGTCATATTTTTATATTGTTCTTTTACTACTTTCTTTCGAAGGACCGAAATGATAGTTAGTGGGGATGAGGACTCTAAATAAGAACTAATAAATTACAGTAAGCAACGAAATGACAATTATATCCAACAACGCAAAAACAAAGAGTAGTAGTAAAAGAACATTATAAAAATATGACAAACTAATATAAACGGTGGCGCTTTTCAGCCAGTCGCCTACACTATTATTATAAAGAGGTACCCTCTATGTTTCTTTATTGTCCTAGGAAATACTGTTAACGTTAAAAAAATTCTCTAACCAACGGGAAGCTACATGATACACGGGTGACACAGACATTAATTTACGAGGGCAAAGTCGAGGGTAAAAAGCTAATGTATCATTAAATATCTTATAGATATTATTTTTCATTAAAGCTGTTATTTAACTTTCATTATACCTATTTTATTTTTTTCCTGTAAATTTTGTTTCATGCATGTTAAGCATATCAGTGAGCGGTTATCTTAAGCGATTTTGTCTACAACAGCAATCAGAAGTAAAACAGTGGCCTTTTTAAATAAAATCAGTCTAGAACTGGACGTTAGCACATTGCTGTCAAAGTATAAAAGCATAATCAAATTAAAGGTATAAAATTTTTATTCTATTGAACCTCTATGTGCTCTAAGTAGAGTTTAAGGCTATTTTTATTATAGAACTATCTGCGCCCTCAAGTACGTCTGCTTAGACTACTTTCGAGTCAAGTTACCACTTATTATGTAAACTATATGCCAGTACTCTATGTGCTCGAAGTGAAGTTTTAGACTGTTATTATTATAGAACTTTCTGTGCCCTCGGGGGTCCCGTTTAAAGTAGCCCAAGTTACCCCTTATTACATAAGCTATCTTCCAGTGAAAGTCCCGTCAAAATCGGTTCAACCATTCAACCAATTTATTACAGAGATTAGCCGTAACAAAAAGAACGACAAAAAAATAAAAAGTGTTGTTGTTACATACGTAGCCTGTATACATTTATATATCTCAGCAAAAAGTATTTTAATATTACCAAACAGACACTCCAATTTTATTTATTTGTTAAGTTATCAAAATTGCTTGTTCTCGTTTTTGTCTTTGATTTAATGTTTTTTAATTTGCTTTATAAATCGGGTGGTAAATGGGTCAGTCAGTGATCGATAAACATAGATTTGCTTTAGATAAGTATATTACGAGTAATAACTAATGAAATACCCGTTATATAATTAGCATTTTATCTCCAAAACTTATCTTCGGCACAAAGGTCTAATTTCTCTGATACTCTATCAAAATACACTTACCACATAGTATTATATCGTTCTGTGAATATCTGTACTCTTTGACCAAGTCCGGTTTTATTGCCGCTGACACCGCTGCCGGGTCCAGAGCGGTCCATTGTCCACCTGGTCTTCTAAGCGATACAGCCTCATATTTATTCATCTGTCTCATTACGTCGCTGTTTATTCCACCAAGCACCACTCTTCTCCAAGTCTAAAATTAACGTATTATTATTATTGATTCAATTTTGGATTCATAAAAACTGCTCATACCATAACAGCGATCTATCAGAGACTTAGTACTGATTTCTCAAGCACTAATTAGTTTCGCTATTAGTAAGCGTAATTTAAATAATTTTATTCTTGTATTTAAAAAAAGCTATTTTTTGTGATAATTTGAAACTAATTTATAAAAATAATTCCTGAATATAAAGTTACAGTACCTGCAAGAATTTTTTTTTCTCCCTCATAAGTACGCGGATAAAACCGCGGGGCGGCCCTAGTTAAATAAACTTTGGTTTATTTCAGACTGTCGGTGGTATACATTGGAATTAAAGAGAAAAGTTTTGATAATTTGTTTGTTTGCATCGAATATGCTTCGAAACTATTGGACGATTTTAAAAATACTTTAACCTACGTGAATCGACATCATACGTGGGTGACATACGCTATAATAGGCTTGTGTCCTACAAGTGAAAATACAGGTTTTTGTTATATCTTCGAAAAATATGAACCATTTTAACTTATAAATGTTTAACAAAACAAATTTTAAGTCACTGATTTGGAAAATATTACGCTTTGAAAACTTGAAAAAAGTAGAGAAAATCTACTACAAAAATTTGCTAAAATACATAAGGCATTAAATTAGATATAAAAAATGTTACAACTTTCATTATAATAGCTATAAACATAAACGCACAAATAACAAAGATATTACAAAAATTATCCAGACGCCCATACATTTTTCGCTAGTGTAGCACCGTGTGACGTCACTGAGTGCCTTGAATTTGTAGGGAGCGTTTTCGGCCAACTAGCAGCAGTTCTACAAACACAGCACCGTATCTCCGAAACTATTAATCGCAGACATGCTGTTACTTCGACATTATTTCTCAGATGTTAATGGACTATTTATTTATGAAATAAAAAAAAAGTTGTCAACTAGCCTATTTACACGGGTGAAGTCGCGTAAATACCTTTTTTAAAATAAAAAACGACAAATTATGAAACTAAATATTATACCTTAGTAAAATTTAAATAGATTTTCGTCTGCGAGAACGGAATGATGGTGACTTTATCTGGGTTCGCGTTTTGAGCTACAATATGGTAAGCTTCTGGGTCCATTTTTGCGTTGAACTCCGGTAAAGACTCTTGGTCACCTGCAATAAATATATCAATAACACATACATTACTTAGACCCCACTTATCATGATATCTAACTCTTAAATATACTATCTGTCTCATAACATTCATGGTTTGTGGAATACAGAAAACATGGATAATGTAGGGAAATAAAAACCGAACAAATGCGAATTCAACTTGCATATCCTCCAAGCATTGAGTTTTTTAGAGCTATTTACATTAACAGCTTTATAAATAAACATCAAAAGTCTGACAACAGGCCCTTTCATTAAAATTTTATACATATCATTCTTTTTTGTTTTAAGTTCAGTTAAGTCATCAAAAAAGATCCAGTAAATGCGACTTATTAGTATCACATACTAAAAAAGAAACTCGGTTGCATTTAATCTCCTTTGTTGCATCTCAATTGCAGTTAAAGTTAAGGTTTATGTCACATTTGACGATATCTGCCACGTTAACTTTAGCATTTATTGTGGAATGCGTTGCACCATCCTCTTTGGCATATTAAATCAGTAACATTAACCAGCGACAGCTTAAGCGGTTATAGTTTATGAAATGAAATTAAAATATCTTTATTCAAATAAGCTTGTTTCAAGCACTTTTGAATTATCAAAAAAATATTGTTTTCCACCCTACCACTCATCCAGGACGTCGTTTAGCCGACAAGAAGAACAAGCGAAAGAAATATATATATATGTCATTACCATAATAGTACGTATTATAACAGTAATAAATACAATTTTCAAAGTAAACAAACAAAGCGAAGGCTATTAATTCCATGCAATGCGATCCTAAAAATAATCATCAACTTTATAATAGCCTTAACTCATAAGTGTGTTCATCATCATCATCATCATCAGCCCATATTCGTCCACTGCTGGACATAGGCCTCCCCAATTGCACGCCATCTATTTCGATTTTCGGCTGTTCGCATCCAGCTCCTGCCAGCCATCTTGCGCAAATCATCGCTCCACCGCGCCTGAGGACGTCCTACACTACGTTTGCCGAGACGCGGTCTCCACTCAAGAACTCGTTTACCCCAACGGTTATCGGTTCTGCGGCTAATATGGCCAGCCCACTGCCACTTCAGCTTGCTAATCCGGTGGGCTATGTCGATAACCTTGGTTCTCTGCCGGATCACCTCATTTTTGATTCGATCCCGCAGAGAAACGCCGAGCATAGCCCTTTCCATAGCGCGCTGAGCGACCTTCAACTTGTGGACCAGCCGTGCCGTCAGTGTCCACGTTTCGGCTCCGTATGTCATAACGGGTAGGACGCACTGATTAAAGACTTTTGTCTTTAGGCACTGCGGGATCGACGATGTAAAGACCTGACGTAGTTTCCCAAACGCTGCCCAACCTAGCCGAACTCTTCCATTTACCTCGCTCTCGAAGTTGTTTCTACCTAACTGCAATGTTTGCCCGAGGTATACATATTTTGGAACAATTCCGAGAACGGCACCGCATACTGCAATCGGTTCCGGTAGTACGTGTTCGTTGAACATGACCTTGGTTTTATCCAAGTTCATCCGTAGGCCGATGCGCATAGAAGAGTCAGCCAGGTCATTCAGCATCTGTTGTAGGTCCTGCAGATTTTCTGCCATGATGACGATGTCGTCAGCAAATCTCAAGTGAGAGATGTACTCGCCATTGATGTTGATGCCACGTCCTTTCCAGTTCAGCGTCTTAAACATATCCTCCATTGCATTAGTAAACAATTTCGGAGACATAACGTCTCCTTGTCTCACTCCTCGATGCAACGGTATAGGACTTGTTTGCTGATTCTGTACTTGGACGGTCATGGTGGCGGCCTCATAAATACATCTTATCACTTGGATGTATCGCCAATCGACTTGGCATCGCTGCAGGGACTCCAGAACGGACCAGATCTCAATCGAGTCAAAGGCCTTCTCATAGTCCACAAATGCTAGACACAGGGGCTGATTATACTCTTCAGTCTTCTGTATAATCTGCCGCACTGTGTGGATGTGGTCTATGGTGCCGTATCCACTCCGAAACTCAGCCTGCTCCGGTGGTTGGAATTCGTCAAGTCTTTGCGCAAGACGGTTCGTGACTACTCTAGAAAACAGCTTATAGACGTGGCTTAGAAGGGAAATGGGTCGATAGTTCTTCAGCAGGGTTTTGTCTCCCTTTTTGAAGAACAGGACGACAACACTCCTACTCCACGCCTGCGGAGTTCTCCCTTCGAAGAGGACAGCATTAAAAAGCTTTTGGAGCTCCTTCAGTACCGGTTTACCTCCTGCTTTTAATAATTCAGTTGTAATGCCATCCTCTCCAGGGGCTTTTCCATTTTTAAGCTGTCTCAGAGCGATCTCGATTTCGCCAATGCTGACTTCTGGCAGATCTTCGGTGTAGTGGCGTGTTAATGTGGCTCTAGAATCCTCATTTCCGGGATCAGGTCGAGATGCATGCGAAGCGTATAACCGGGCATAGAAATTTTCCACCTCCGAGAGGACCGCTGGCTTCGAAGCAACGACTTCCCCGCTTGCTGTGGTCAACTTCGTCAAGTGGCTTCTTCCAAGAGATTGTACGAATACTTTTGACCTCCTGTTTTGCTCGATCGCTCTTTCTATAGCGTGAGTGTTGGAGCACCGGAGGTCATATCGTACGCGTTTGCTGATCTCCTGGTTTTGAGCGCGTTTTCCTGACGAAGTGACAGGTGGGTTTTCACGTCGTTCCTTCATTAGCCCCAAAGTTCTATCGGAGAGCTTAGACTTCCAGCCCTTACGCTGCATGCTACAAAATTTCGTACCTTCTTCCCTGAGTATTCGAATCACATTTTCAAGGTTCTCGTCAACGTCAATTGTGGTTTCCATGGCAGCGAATCGGTTCTCAAGATTTGACTGAAACGTTTCAGATTCCATCATGGTTTGGAGAGGAGTAGGTCGGAGCCTGGCCTTCATCAAGCGGACACGTTCAGCTTTGAAGTTGATATTCAGAGAGCCTCGGACAAGTCGGTGATCGCTGCCGGTGTTAAACCTATTGATCACGGAGACATCTCTGAATACGTGCTTTTTGTCCGTTATAATGAAGTCGATCTCATTTTTTGTCACATTGTCGGGGCTTTGCCACGTCCACTTCCTTTGGGGCTGTTTCTTAAAGAACGAGTTCATAAGGAAGAGCCCCTCCCGTTCGAGGAAGTTAACGAGCATTTGCCCCCTATCATTCCTGCTTCCAAATCCATGGGATCCTACTACCGATTCGCCGCAATTTTGTACTCCCACTTTAGCGTTAAAGTCCCCCATAACAACGCTGTAGTGGGTCTTAGTAGTGAAGTGGAGTGCCCTCGATATATCATCGTACATATTCTCCACTTCATCGTCCGAGTGTGTCGAGGTCGGTGCGTACACTTGAATAACCTTGAGGCTATACCTCTTAGTGAGCTTTACAATCAGGTACGCCACCCTGTTCGACACACTGGAAATTTCTACAACGTTGTCAGAAAGGGACTTATTGACAAGAAACCCAACGCCACCTTGGGATTGTTGGTCTCCCTCGCGGAAGTACATTAGGTGGCCTGATTCGAGGGTTATGGTATCCTCCCCCTCTCTTCGGACTTCACACAATCCCAATATGTGCCACCTAATCTTTCCAAGCTCCACCTCAAGTTGAGCCAGATGCGAGTCAAGCCGTAGCGTGCGTCCGTTGTACGTCGCCAGGGTCAGTCGGTTGTGGTGGCCTCCCGTAGCCCGGAGATTCTTAGCACCCCCTGCCTCGCCGTTACCATGGTCGCCACCATGACCAGGAATAGCGAGGCCGCCGGGAACTAGGGGCCGTGGCCTTTTGTGCCTTTTCATTTGGGGGATATGCCCATAATCGCCACGCTGGGCAAGCGGGTTGGCGATCGCAGTATGGTCCAGTTCTGTGGCCCGCACAAGAAGACGCTGCTGCCCATCTCCTTGGGTTAAATTTCCCTTAGTCGCCTCTTACGACACCCACGGGATGAAAAGGGGTAGTACAATTCTATATCGGTACTACACGGTAGTATATACATAAGTGTGTTCTTTACATGAATTTTAAATTTATTTACGGGTAGTTCAATTATATTTTGTGGAACTTTATTTAACATAGCAATGCATTTACCCAGAAATGATCCTCTGGCTTTTGAAGTCTGAAGCTTGGAACGTCATCTAACAATTGCCAAATGATAAATGATTATTTGCTAATCCTACTGGATACGTGTTTGCTATTATTCTTAATGGAAATTGCTTAAAAATTCACTTTGTCATTGGCACTCTGAGATTTTAAGCATTTTTCATTAAGAATAATTTTTCAGTATAGCATTGTGAATGCAAATTTGATAAAATATAATAAAGTTCGTCAATGTCAAAGTAAATTGTTGCAACTAATTCTTAGATAACAACATTAGACGTTAATAATGAGGTGTTAGTTATTTATTTTTAGATATGGGAAGATTTGAATGGGCCCCGACTCTGAGTCGTTCTGTTCTGTACTACTTAACAGAATTCTAAACTACCGGCCTTGTTTCTTTCTTTTTAGTTTTTATTTGTGTTAATTTTTTCGTGTATTTTTTAAAATTCGTTTTTACGCAGTAGGGTTTTTTGTTTTTCTACAAATTATTTATTTTTATTTTATACTTTTTAGTTACGATTCGTTGACTTCGTTATAAGATGGTAAATTTCGCAATCTAGTCATTTCATTGAGGGAGTTAAGTAACTTGCGGTTGTCTTAACTACTGATGATTAGACCCTCTAGAAACCGAACTCGACTCAAAGCTACATATGCTTTATTTTTTTTATTTTTTTCACTGTTTTTATTTTGTTTGTAAATCGTTTATACTTTAAATAAAAACTTAAATCAATAAGTAGAAAAATTAGCGAGAATGTTTTGTTAAACAACTTTAAATCGTTATATATCCTTAACTATTATTTAAAATGAAAAATTATAAAAGGAACCTAAAAATGATTTTAAAATACCTATTCCACGACACCCCACGTTACATAGTTCATCGTTTTTTTTTTCACTTTGAAAATATGGCGTCTGGTTGTCGCTGTGGTGAATTTTGATTACTGTCATGTCTTCAGTGACATTCGCAAGGTTAAGATGAATCGATTGATGTAAGAATCATCGAAATCGGCCTACGCATTTGGTCTGTAAAACGCCACAAAGAAACATACGTACATAGACTGATAAACACATTACCCTCCTTTGCGTCGCGCAGTCGGGTAAAAACAAAGTCGCTTTCTTTGTCCCTATCCCTATGTATGCTTAAATCTTTAAAACAACTCAACGGATTTTGATGCAATTTTTTTTATAGATAAGGTGATTCAAAATGAAGGTTTTTATGTATAATACAAGACCACGCGGACGAAGCCGCCGGCGGAAAGCTAGTATAATATAATTGTAAAATACTTACTGTAAATGTGTCCAGCAGCTACATATAATTGTGACAGTCGACTCAAAAACATAGGATCTAGTTTAATAGCTAAAGCAATATTCGTAAGAGTTCCAACCGTAACTATGACTAGTTCTCCTGCAAAAAAAAAACATTATGATAGCAACTTACTTTCATTATAGGAACTATTTTCAGGAAAAGTTTCATACGACCACCGTTAATATATCTAAATACTAGTTACGCCCACGACTTCGCCCGCGTGGAAAGTAGCCTAAGTTACCTATATATATTTATGCTATCTGCCAGAGAAAGTCTCGCCAAAATCGGCCCAGTCTTTTTGGAGATTAGCCAGAACAAAGAGAAAGATAAAAATGTAAAAAAAAATGATATTTGGTCTAAGTGACATGTATGTGTAAACTCATATATGCATTTAATAAAAAGAAATTAATTTAATGTTACAGACAATCCAATTTTATATATTTGTTTCGATTATTCATGTATTAATACGCGTATGTAAAATAATAACAAAGAAGTGCAACTTTCATAAAAAAGAACCTTTAAGCTTGATCAAATTTTATACTCTGTTTATCGATAAAGAAAATCATCTATTTTCAAAACGGTAATACGGCTAAAGAAACACATTTTTGGGTAATTTATGATGAAACGGGGATAGGAGCAGACACTGTCTCTGATGCGCAGATAATCTTCATGATATTATTTTAAATAAATTATAAGAACGTCTCGAAATTTCCCGAATTTTTGTTAGTGATAGAAGGCCATTAATGTTCCGCGACAGGGCCTCTACAAATTATTATTAATGGGTTACTTATTTCATTAGGTAATTTATTAAAAAAATAAAATATTAAACAACATCAAATGCATTCCTCAGATTCCAAAATGAGTAGTTGAAGCCCCCGTATTATTGAGTATATGCGACAACAAAATTATCAAAACATCCAGACCCAAGACAATACCTATAGAAAATTCCTTTTTCAACATTGACCTGACCGAGAATCTAACTCGTCACCTCAGAAACCGACGTGCGTACCACTCGGCTACGGAGCTCGTCAAACACTATCTAATAATAAAAAGCTTCTTTCTCACCTTCGTAAATATTTGATAGTTCAATAAGACGTAACACTGCATTTTGTTTCTCCGCAGGAACTAGGCCTGTTACATTTTCACCTGTATCCCCTAAACCATCAATGCCGTAATAAAAATTTGCTACGTCCGTACTAATTATAGAGGATTTGGAACCCCTGTAAATCGGTACCTGAAACGGAGAGTCATCATCAGCACATTAATATACTTATTTTAGCCCACCGCTGGATCATAGGCCTTTCCTACGGGTGGAATCAAACAAATAAAGATGGCCATAACCCACCGCTGTGAACCACGGGACGGCTCAAGATAGTAAATTTTTGGTCACCCATCCCATTACCAGCCCTTGCAAGTGTTGTTTAATTTCAGTATTACAGGCCGAACTCAACGCACTAACTGCTATGCCATCGAGCTCCTGTATGAGAGACTGCTTCGTTTTATTTAGACTGTTGGATTTGGTAATTAAAATGGTAGTTTGGTAGTTAAAATACAAACAAAATCACTGACACTCAACTGGTTGTGTACAAAGAAAAAATGTCCGAAAAAATCTGTAATAAAAAATTAGAATATACGAGAAAAAATTCATTGGAAAAATATCTCACAATTCTCTGTAAAAATACACTTTATAATAGCTGTGATAAATTTACTGAATATGTAAGTAAATTATTAATCGATTGAATTACGCGGTACTTTTCGTAATAGTTTGCAAATTAATATTAAATGCCACTTTTTCGCACAATTTACCATTTCAAATATATCTCATTGCGGGCGTAAATAATGGTCAGGGATAATATTTTGTCTTTATACCCCTTCTTACGGAAGACAAAGCATCACAATTTAGTTGTCATATCGATGATATTATAATATCTTTAATAATATATTTTAACAAGTAATAAATCCACACAGTTAACAGTAATAACATTACGCTTATGTGGCGTAGAATTGATAAAGCTAAGGCTTGTAGAGTTAGGCCATGCAGAGTAAGAAACTTGGCTCTAATTAAGATCTGAAAAGGTTTTGACGGTATCACATGGTGACTTGGTAACATTTCATCACTTTATTTCAATAGGGAATATGCACATTTTTGGAAAATGTTTTTATATGATAATTTACATCGATATATAACTGTAAAAAAATACCCGGCACCGGAAAACTAAAATTTTATAACATTAATCATTAATGAAAATAAGTAAAAGCTACGAGCAGTTTAAACACCAGAATTTTTGGCGCACTCGTCGTGACGTCAAAGTACACGACTAGAGATGTGACATTTTAAATCAATATGGATTTTGAGTGATTGATTATTCAATTACCCAAATCGATTAACAACTAATCGATTTTTTAAAGTATAATAGACTTTTTTAATAAATCATATAATTTATCAAATTGATGAAATAAAAATAAAAGCCTAAAACATCATTTAAATTGTAATCAGTTGTTTATTTTGCGACATAATACATTGATGTTATTGCATCGATGTTTACATTTTGTACCAACGACATCCCTATACGTGTACATTTTCGTCACATCCGCTCTGACAATTGGCATGGCGTTTAAATATTTTGAAGTTACCGCATTTATTTTGCACTTTTTAATAATTATTTTCAAGACGAAAACGAACTAATGTTGAAAAATATTTACATGGACTTTATTCTAAAGCAATAAAGATTGTAATAAAATATATTTAACCCTTTTTTGAATCAGACGCATATTCCCTATTATGTTTACACGCAGATTATTTAGATACACGATTGAATTACATATCTACACTACACTATAAAAATGTAGAGGAAGAAATTTTATTGTATGTATTGCATCGAATAGGCTCCGAAACTATCACTGATGACCAGTGGTCGGAATTAGGTAGAGTTATTCATGTACTTACACTGATTTCATACAGCGAAAGAATAAAGTGGATATGCCTCAAATCCAGAGATTAATTTTAAAGAGCAGAAAAAATCCCGTGATTTTTTAAATAAAAAGTTATTTACTTTTACACAATTTAAACTACTGCACGCACGACGTTGCCAAACTTACATCAATGACATCGGATGTCCAAAGTCATAATAATTTGTATTGTAAATTAATGTAAACTAATAAAAAATTTATGTTAATAATCTTTGTTTTATTTGTCTATCTCAGACGTTGTAATTATTATTTAGTTGTAAGATTGTTGGCCACACGGGATTGTCCATTAGAAATCCCGGGAAGGTCCACATTAATATCAACATTTCGATGCAAGTACATAAATAACTCTACCTAATTCCAACCTCTGCTGATGACATAGGCTATATTTTACGCAGGCCAACTAGCATGAATACTGCTTGTTTCACATTTGATGTAAAGTATAATAACGAATAGAATTTTAATACTTACATCTTGTCTATTAATCACTTTTAAAATCCTCTGGTTATTTTTGTACACATTATTTTCAAACGTGTTTCCATTTCCAGTGGTAAGTGCAATCACTTTAGGTCTGAAAATATTATTATAAAATGAACTCTCTGGTAAAGGCGGCTGGTAAAGGTTTCTTAAAATAAATAAAATTTTAAATATCTATTCAAATTTGAATACCCACAAATTTCAGTTCGAAGAGTAACTCTCTATTACAGTGATATGTTTTAAGAGTGGCATTCTTATCTTTATATTAATAAAGGTTACTTAATAATTATTGTTGAAACATTCTTACCCATCATAATATTTCTCGTAAAGGAGAGCTAAAAATATTGCCATAGCATCATCACCTCCAGCATCATTGTCGATCACCAGTTTTAATTTTCCATCTTTGGTACTGAAATTATTGAACATACTTTTACATTATTTTTTCAGTACTGCCATTCCTTGTATAATCATTCCTGAGTATTACGAACTGTCAATATAGAAATCTTGACTAATATTATAACAAGGAAAGATTTAATTGAGGCTTCGAAATTATTAGATCGATTTGGAAATTTCTTTCACCTCCGCGAAGCTACATCATACGTAAGTGACATATGTGTTAATTTACATTAGCGAAGTCTATACTTTAAGTTACATACGAGCTCACCCGAGTTAAATTCTTAAGATTTCTTTAAAAAAAACTTTACTTACGTAGGAGGAAGTATAAAATATTTTTTGTCATTAAACACGAGACCACGAACTAGATAAATTAATATAATATTTTTAGAACGAGACCACGAACTAGATAAATAAATTAATATTATAAACTTTGTTGCCAAAAAAATTAGAAATCTAAACGACCATGTTTTTTAATGATATATTGTGATAATTTAAACTTGGTAACACTTGCCTTTTCTCAGCTAAACACAAATCACTAATCACGAAGAAAAATAAACAATAAAAAGCATTCATTTTTAACATATTCTTCGACTTCCAACGTTCGACTATACGTCAGTCTTACATCTTATTCGGTGATACACTGACAATATTCTGTATTCGTCTCGCGCTACTTTTCTACAGATTTTCATTCGACATAACAAATTCGCTATTTTTGAGTCGCTCGACTGCAACGAGTGATATTGGTAGAGTGGATAAATTTGACGATTTTAAAATAAATCTATAAAAAACTCAACTTATGAATTTTCTACAAAGGACTAACCAACTCCTTGACTTAAACATTAACTATGCTGGTACACAAATGAAAAAAACAGATGTCACAAAAATTCTGGGTTTGTATATTTAAAAAAATGTAACGTGTAATAATCACACTCTGAACGTGTTTGTAAAAAGTTGTCCAAGTATTCTTATGCATTGTACAAACACTAAGTTTGTACTCTTATCTAAGAGTACAAACTTAGATCGCGAATCAGTGCACGGTCTTACAGGTTATCACGCATACGTAGTTTCTACTGTTCGATACGGCTTTATATTTTGGGGATATTCGACCGATTCTGTAACTGTCTTTAGAGCCCAGTAAAAATGTATTAGGAGTATATGTTATTGTTTTATTAAACTAAATATTATGACCTTGCCATCAATCTCTCTATCCGAAGTTGGTATTTTTGTGAAACAGAACGACAATTATTTGAAAAGAAGACAAGGTTGCAGCATCGAGACAAGTTGTGTACCGTACCCTTTAAGACAGCTCTGTTGAACAAAAGTATCTTTTGTATGGCTCCAAATTTTTTTAATAAAAAACCGAAAGCTTTACGCAATCTGAATGATTTTAATGTTTTTAAAAGAGAACTTTGTAAATTATTTGTAGCTAAAGCATATTATAGTGTAAACGAGTATCTAGCTGACATTACCTTGTAATTTTATAAATTCTTAATTAATAAATTGCAACTGAATTGAATTTTTGAAACTAATAACATATTACTTGACAATTACTTATATACCTACTAATATGGTATGCCTTTTAGGCAGATCGCAGTATTAATATTCAGTCCTTGTATCTAATATCTTTATATAACCTGTGATCAAAAATAAAGGTTTGCTGTGTGAATAACAAACGTCAAAACATGAAATGAATTAACAAATGACGTTTATGGCCGTTTTGTTTACATTCACGCTTTTTTTGTTTGTACATATGGGAAAAAAAAATTCTATACAATACGAATAACAAAATTTCATATTTCGAATCATGTTGACCACCCTACAGACGAACGATTCAAAAATAATAAAAAAACTGCGTAATGCGAATAAGAAAACGAGCGTGGCTTAGTATGTGGCAAGGAGATTTTAAGCGAGTGAATCAAAAATAGAACTCCTGCTACGGACGTACCAATATCAAAAGCTTTCAGTACGGTTTGCAGAATATTTTATTCTTAGTTTGAAATTAATTAAACGCACTGTTATTCATTTAGTTTTTTTTATTTAATGACCAACCATTTCATTTAATACAATATTCAACTCGTTTAGGAGTGTAAAATTGTCTCTGTCGTTGCTTGTTTCATTTTAGATATCATGATTCATAGTAGTATTAACTGATCAAAACACTATCGATTTCTATGTAAGTATACAATTATAACTTAAGTTTTATTTTTCAAAACGTCCGGTTTCGATTGACAATTCTATTTCTTTTTAGACAAACTAGTTTCTTTTTAAATTTATTTAATCTTATTTGCTTAAAGAAATAGACAAATGGCGGACTTAATGCCAAAGCAGCATTCTCTAACAGTCAACCAGTAAATTTAGTAAAAACCTAAAGTTAAAGAGGCGACAGACATGTATGAATACAGATTTTCTTTTCGCTAAAATCGTTGACATAGTTCCTAAGCATAGATCTCCTCCAATGTCATATACTTTCAGAATTTCCCATACTGACCATTGTCACCGTTACATCCTGTATTTCTTTAATAAAACTTTAAAGCTCAGATTAAAAAAAAACAGTAAATATAATGGTTTGCAAGTAATAAATTTAAATTAGTTTTCTGACGTTCCATTCAGTGCAATACGCCATCCTATGTCCTTGTCTGTCTCATTGATACTTGTTGATTTGTCTTGTCTCTTTTTTTCTTTGTCTATAATCGGCGCCAGCGCATCAGTTAAATAAATTTTGTTGATGTATATTTTATCTTCATATTTATATCGGTTATATATATTGCATAATTGTTCGTGATCTTTTGATAACCTTATTATCTTATTAGTTAGTAAGACGAACCAGTTAATTTGCTTTCAAATAATTTGTCTATACTAATATTATAAAGAGGAAAGATTTGTTTGTTTGTTTACAATGAAAAGGCTCCGAAATGATTAGACCGATTCTAAAAATTCTTTCACCTATGGTAAGCTACATCATAAATCAACCCGATAAATATAAGGTGTATAGTTGCAGTCTCATAGATAACTATCATACTAATGTTAATTTTGTTTTGTTTACATTGCAAGGTCAATTTGGGGTTGAGAATGGAATCAAATAGGGAGAATGGGCTTGTAACCCACCACACCGGCTTTTGTAGATCCGCAAATTGTGTGTGTGGTCCTACTTGAAGGTAAGCTTTGCAGGGTGTTGGTAAATCTGGGACTGTTTCTATATGCGTATAGTTTTTATCATTAGAGATGCGGAATCCTAAATAGGATAAGTATAATTTATATTTCATTTAACAACTGTAACATTTATGTAAATGTATAAATCCTAAATAAGATACGTATAAATTATACTTCGTTTAACAACTGTAACATTTATTTAGATGTATATTAAATGTATTTTTTTTCGTCGTCACCGAAAAGGTATCGTACAAAAATTTCTTGTATGTATTTTTGGAGGCTGTTAGCACTAATTTAATATTTGGCTTACTGCTTGTAAAATTGTTTGTGTTTACTCCTCTATTTCCACCTGTAAACATAAAAATAATTATTTATACTAATATTGTTGAGAGGAAAGATTTATTTATATGTTTGTCCATAGAATAGGAAACTAATGGACCTATTTTAAAAATTCTTCTACTTACAGAAAGCTATATCATAATACTTTTATATTTCACGAGCAAAGTTACGGGAAATCATAAAGTATTTATTCAGTTGTAGACATACAAAAATAGATGACGAATTAGATGGATATAATTTTGCCATTTTTAAAAACAAGTCTCATTCTGATGATATGCTCAATTGCTCATATCTACATAAAATATGACAAACATGACTCCGTCAATTTTTTTAGCTTTCAAACATTCGCTTGACAGCTTATAAGACTGAAATCGCAACATTATACTTAGATATAATATAACTATTCGATACTTTGTATATGACATCATAAGTCGGGTGGTTTCAGCCAGTTGCTCAAACATCCATTAAGTAAGCCATTAGTTTAAAGCGTCATTACTCAATCAAATTGACATTAATTAGAGATTACGGCGTCATTAAACCTTAAATTGCGTTTGTACAACTGGCTGAAACAACTCGAGTTGTCGTGTCATATACACAGTAGAGAATGATGATATTAAAGCAAAATTGTTCATTTTATTAACTTACCGCACAAAATAATAGAATTGTTAGAAAGTCTAGTAGTTCCAATTACTTGGCTATTTAACGCTGCCGACATCACATACGGGTCTAATAATTCCCATTTATCACCTTTCGTTAAAGATACTTCTTCAAACTTATTCTGGGCTCTCATCAAATCGGTGTTTATAGCGCCTAGTACGTTTTTACGCCAAACCTTAAAATTTACATTTATTTCAATTATTGAATCAAAACATAATTTTGGAAATTTTACGGTTACTAAGAAGAAAGCATTAATTAATAAATAAATATTAGACAGCATCACTGTTACACAATATTACATATATTGCTCAGATTCCAAGATGAGTAGCTAAAGCCACCGTATTATGGAGTATCAGAGACGAGATAATAGGTATAGAAAAGTCCATTTTCTAGACGGACTCGACCACAAATCGAGTCCGGGCCCTCAGAAATGGCGACACCTTGATATAGCTTAATATTTGTAAAAATATATCACTCAATAGAATTGTAGAGAAAACTCAACGAATACGTAATATGACTTCTTATATATACGTTGGAATTCCTTCGTTCATTATTATCATCATCAGCCTTTTATTTCGTCCCCACTGCAGGGACTCAGGCCTTCTTTATGGATGGATAGTGTGAGGAGCACGTGCCATGACCCTCCACGCTGGCCCAATGCGGATTGGCGGGTATTAACGACTGCAAATGCAGCCGGGACCAACGGCTTAACGTGCCTTACGAAGCACGGAGTAGCTCGCGATAACAATTATTTGGTCACCCATTCCGTGACCGGCCCTTGCGAAAGTTGCTTAACGACAACGATCGCGGGCCACGGCGCTTATCCACTACGCCACCGAGATTCCTTCGTTAATGATTCCTAATTGGGGCGAACGTTGTAAATTTTCAATACGAGTATGTCTAGGAAATTTACGGTCGATTTATTGAATCACTTGATAAAATTTCTATAGAGAATAATTTAGAAAGTAATTTATTATTCCATTTTAGATATACATACTGTTACATATTTGGTTACTTACGACTTTGTCAATGCTTTGACGTTATATGAAAATCATAGTCGACCTTTTTCGCAGTTTAGGGAACTATCCCCTTTTTTCGAAACATTTGACATTAATAATCATACTTTGAATGAATTATTCTCAATTTTTTCATTAATAAACTCTTTCAGTTAGCTGAAGCTGAATTAAAATATATATAGAACCTACTTTTTGAATCTATCGTGTTCAAACAATTTAATGTGAAATGTGAAAAAAACATTGAAAACGTCTGAAAGATACATATTACATCAATGCAAAGCATTGGGTTGCACCTGTCATTATGTTGATATCTGCTAAAATTTAAGAACAACTAGATAATAATGAAATAATATTAAACAACTCACTGTTTTAATACCCATTGAATCAATTATAGATGATGGAAGCATTGTAACTATGTCTGGATATGCGTTTTGTGCTACAATATAGTACGCCTCTACATCATGCAAAGCGTTATACTCTGGCTTCATATTCTGAGCATCTGGAATTAAAAAAATATAACTTAAGATGGCTCTAACCGCATGAACGTAAACGTTACGAAATATACTGCAAAATGTAAAACAGATATCATACGATACCTTAGACAAATGTACTACATCAAGAAAAGCTCCAAAAAGTAACAAAACGTGGAATGAAAACTAAAATGGAATACTGAAATTGTTCCATAGAGAAATTTTAAATAAAAATCCCTAATTAGTTCGTAAATTTCCTGGACTAAATGATAATCGTAAAAATATAACTTGTGTAAAGTTACATTTATAAATTTAAAACAGTTTTACAAAATAATGTAACAATTGGCGGCCTTATCGCGCTTAAAGCGATTTCTTCCAGGCAACCATGGAATGGAGAGAGAGATAACAATTTATGAAGGGGGGGGGGGGTGTAAATGTTATCAATAACATTAAAAAGAAAATATGTTCAATTAATCTTAATAAAAAATAAACAACAAAATATGTAGTATACAAATATATATGATATATACGCAATATACAATTATACATACACACATACATAAACTTCCATATATATTATGCAAAACCAAGAATAGTTATATTCGACAGTAGCATGATATTTCATTGTGAAAGGAAGAATTCATTTACGCTATTTTTAAAAATTTGCAAAAATTTCGCCTTATAGAAACTGGAAGAGAATTCCAGAGACGAGCAGCTTATACAGTGAAAGAATAATCGTAAAAAAAGTATAGTGAGATGAAATCTCAAGGCTCTCGGATGATCGCAATGTGTAAGAATATGTGCAGTGCAGAAAACTGAAACGTTCTTTGAGATAATGAGGGTAAGTGGGATTGAACGAAATATCGTAGAGAAGAGATAATATAACGAGAATTCCGGCGAATTCGTATGGGAAGCCACTTTAGTTCATTGCGATAGTTAGAAACATAGTCATATTTGCGCAAACCAAATATGAACCTGATACAACAGTTTTGAAGACGCTCAAGTTTATTTAGGTGGTCCTCCAAAAGATCAAGGTAGCAAAGGGTCAGCGTAATCGAGAACAGGAAGCAGCAGAGATTGCGCTAACGCAACCTTAGTGGTAGTGGGCAAGAAATTACGCAGTCTCCTGTCCTGTGTGCGATTGTAGAGGGTATTTCCATATTACATATTCGGTTTGGAAGAGCGACATATTATTTTAAAAAGTTTTTTGTTCTTTAAAATTATACTTATAGTGATATAAACATTACAATTACTTTTCGCCTATCATTACTAATTGAATAGTTGCCCAGCCTCAAATTAATAAACCAGCCTTAAACTAAATAATAAATAATAATAAAATATTAAATTTTAATAATACCATTATTATAGCCTGCACCCACGTACAGATGTTTAAGACGCTTTATGAAATCGGGATCAATTCGAATTGCTAAAGCTATATTCGTGAGTGGAGCTAATGTTACAACCATAAGTCGATCTGAAATAAAAATTATTTTCTGTTAAACGATGTCTTGGTAATATTCAATCATTTCTATTATAATCAATTAGCTACTTTATATATACTTTACTTATTGATACCTAAACTACTATATGTGATTTTCACAAAAAAATATACATCAAAGAGCAAAGTATATATATTCATTGAACATAGAAATTCTTCCTGATTTTGATTGTTTCATAGTCATCTTTCATTAATTTCATTTTACATGTAGAAATTAATTTATTCACTTGACATTGGCAGAATTGTGCGAAACGCGTAGATAAGCGATTATTAAAAGAAGGAGAAAATCTTCCTTACACATTTTGAATTATTCTAAATACGAAATCTTTTGTTTTTTAGCTGAAATGTGCTTTGTCATCACATATTATCTTAATATTCAGCTGATAACATTTGGAAAGCGTATTTTGTTTTGTTATAAAAGGAAAACTACTTATTCGATTATGATAAAATTTAACCACCTCGGTCCATCAAGCTGTCTAATATAAAAAGAATTTTGAAAATTGGTTTACAATTGACGAAAATATCGGTGAACATATGTACATATAAAAACATACATCGCCGTCGAATATATAACCTCCCCCTTTTCGATTTCGAGATCGGTTAAAAATAGCCCTTTTTTTGAAGTAGTTTAATAATTATGCATCATTTGGTTACCCTACCCTACATCAATGTGGGAAGTTACTCGAAAAAAAAGGGTTTTATTTCACCACAATGTCGGAGCGATTAACATGTATACTCGTGGTAAATTATATCTTCCCAATACAAATTGTTTTTGAGCAGACAGACGGACAGACAGACGGTCATGGTAAAACTATAAGTGTTCTTTGTTGACTACGAAACTACTTTGTTTGATAAAAATCGGAAAAAATAAATACTACGAACATAACAAAAAACAAAATCCCGTTTTAAAAGTATAGTAGCGTCATCTAGTGATCAGTAGCGTCAGCTAACTGTAACATTTTCGTGTAGGTACTTAACCAAGATAAAATTTGCATACAACAAGCGACAACGATTATACTGTATTGAATTATTGAATATATTATTTAATCCTGCACAAATAGCTTAAATAATTAAATAACATATTTGGAAAAGGGTGACATTTTTATTTTATTATATTTGGGAAACAAAGAATATTTATAAAAAATACATTTAAAACATTTTAAAATAACACATTAATCAGTAAAGTTTCCACTGATAGTTTTTACAATTAATTCCAATATTCACATTAAAAAATAAATAAATTATCGTTTGGTTTAATTTTCATTAATCACTAAAAAAATAATCTATAAAGTCAACAATAAATGTCAAAGTTACACAAAAGTCAATATTCTAATTGCTCGTACATTAATTATCAAATTAAATTAAGATTATAAATTAAAATAATAACAATATCATTTAATGTTCGTCTGGATTATCCTTTATATATTTTTACAAGTTTTTTTAGAGAAGGAATTGAGCAATTAAAAATGTCAATGGAGTTAAATTTCATGTCATATTCTTTACAAGATCTATAAACAAAAATATTTCCTGCATAATTAGTTTTAGTTAATGGGACAGAAAAAAGCTTTTTAGACCGTGAACCTATCCGAGAGCATCTTATATTAATATTCTGTAATAAAAATTTCGAGTCAACGTGCGCTTTTAAAATCTTATAAAAACATTTGATCCCTCTCTAAACGACGACCGAGTAAAGACGGAATACGAATAGGTAAGTGGTTATCGCAAGCAGATCTAAAATTTTCAAATTTTCTGTTGATTTTTCAATTGCGTCAATATACACTTTATTCTGTGGATTCCATACCGTCGATGCGTAGTCCAAAACAGATCGTACATATGAATAACATGGAATATAATTACGATGACAAATTGAATTTTAAACAATGGTTAGTATTATGGAAATTTGGAACAAGACTTCTCAGACTATAAAGTTTAACTCCTGCATGCGTAGCATGACTAACTCGAGAATGTTTTGTCTACACTCAAACGTCACTTTTCTCGGGTGCGCCCATATTATATCTTACTCTCGACCCGAGAAACTGACAAATGAGTGTAGACAAAGCGTTTCTCGAGTTTGTCATGCTAATTCATCTTTCTTGACCGTACACAATTTGCTTAAAAGCTCACGTCAGGCACTAGTAAGGAGAATAAGGTAAGTATATTCTATTTTGAGTTTTAAACAAAGAGATCTTACTCTATTTAAAAAAAAGCTCTCTAATTTGTCGTTGAAAACGTAACTGCTGCTACGTCACAAATGGTTCTATATTACCTTTATACTTCTTTGATAATTCAATCAAAATGAACACTGCATGAGCTGGCTGTGCTTTAATAGATCGGTACGTGCCGTTATTGTCTCCTAAACCATCAAAACCGAAATAATGGTCTTCTGGGTAATCTTTGATAATTGGGTACTTGCTACCCCTGTAAATGGGTATCTGGAAATGTTTGGGGATAATGAAAAGTTAATGGCTGATACTCGTAACTTATGAGCGGCCAATTTTCAGGCTAAATCTGTCCGAATGGGCAGTGGGTAAAAATACTGAGTGATACCAAATAGGTATTAAATTAACATATCGTTAAGCAACTTTCGCAAGAGTCGGTCACGGGATGGGTGACCAAATAATTGTTATCGCGAGCTACTTCGAGCTTCGGAAGGCACGTTAAGCCGTTGGTCTCGGCTGCATTTGTAGTCGTTAATACCCGCCAATCCGCATTGGACCAGCGTGGAGGGTCATGGCTTATGCTCCTTAACCATCCATAAGGAAGGCCTGAGCCCCTGCAGTGGAGATGAAATAAAGAGCTGATGATAATGATTAGTTACTCATTTCACAAGGATCACACTCACTGTCTACTTACGCTTCTAGTGCCTGAATAATTTTGAAAATATGTAGCTATTATCCTATCCTTGTCCATTTCATACAAAGATATTGCTCAAATTTAAATCTTCGACGATCAATATATTCTAAGCGACTAATTTAGATTTATTTAATAAGTGCAGCGTCACTACGGGTCGGAGCAATTTTGTTATATTTTTTGAGTTCAATTCATATTCAGAGTTCACTATCAACACCTGAACAGTATAATTATACTTACATCCATTCTATTAGCTACGTCTAATATTTTTTGAGTATTTTCATACGTTTGAGGTTCTTGTACATTTCCATGAGTTGTAGTGATCGCTGTGACTTCAGGTCTACAAAAAAAATATAATAATGTAGGACACGAAAAAAAAGTAGAATAAACATAAACACTAGCTAAAGAACTCTATTTTGTTTCTGCTTTCTTGCGCATTTCAAAGAGTATTTTCAGGATTGTTCAATATAAAAGACCAAGTAATTCATGACGAAATTTTAGGTGCAGTTTTATACTGACTTAGGATATTAAAATCTTTAAATTAAAAGTAAATAATAAGGTATTTGAAAAATATTTAATGGCATATTTTTCGATTAATTCAGAAAGTCAAACAATTTGATTTTAATAATAACCAAACCCTGCAGGCTATGATGCGGGAGCTTGACCATACATCTCAACAATATGGCTTGGAAATGAATGTCGACAAAACAAAGATCATGACCAACGTCACAAATAGTACCTCAAACATCAGAGTGGACGGCACTGTCATAGATAAAGTGGACAGGTATGTGTATCTTGGTCAGGAGGTCGTTATGGGGAAAGACAACCAAAGTAACGAAATTAATATGCCCATAAGACTAGCATGGGCAGCATACTCCAGACCTAAGTTTGCGTTTAAAATGAACATCAATGCCGAACAAAAAGCTCATATTCATGACCAATGCATTTTACCAGTGCTCACATACGGAGCTGAGACCTGGGTTCTAACTAGAGAAATCCTCCACAAACTTCAGGTAACACAAAGAGCGATTGAGAGAAAGCTGGTAGGAATTACATTGTGAGACCGAAAAAAAATGAATGTATACGAGAACAAAGCAAAGTCAGCGATGTCACCAAAAGGATTACGAAATTGTAATGGGGGTGGGCTGGACATGTCGCCCGTAAGCACGGCTCGTAGTGCAAGGCTGTGGTAGAGTGGAGACTATGGGGTGAGAAGCGCCCAAGAGGAAGACCGCAGATGCGTTAGCATGACGACATCAAAAGACTGGCGGGAACAAAATGGATGGAGACTGCTCAAGATCGAAAAAGATGGCAGAAACTGAGGGAGGCCTACAGCTTAGCGGTTTAAAAAGGCTAGAGAGAGAGAGAGATAGAGAAGTAAAAACATATTGTAAATGTAACGATATTTACAGTACGTATTTTATTAGTTAGGCCAATCCCTTCATAATTTAATTTAACAAGACGGTAGGTACTTGGGGCAGGATTAAATGCTATCACAGTTCTATTTGTGAGGGTTGCTATCGAGGAGATTATAAGAGAATATTGTCTCATTCTGAGCCTGACTAATAAGCTTTATACGCTTTATAATTGATAAATAAAAATGGCAGTATTTGAAATAGTATGTATATTAATTTCCCGAAACTGTTAGCGCGATGCATGCCCTATGTGATCTTGCTGGTTATTAAAAAAAAGCGGCGACGTAAGCATGATGATATACATGTCTCTACATAACGAATACTTGCCCATTAAAATATTTCTCGTGTAGTAAAGCAATGAAAATAGCCATTGCATCATCAGCTCCACCATCATGATCTATCACAAGTTTTGGTCGTAGAGAATTTAAATAGCTGAAAAAGTAAGTTTTTAATTTAAGAATAAGTATAAGTATCAAGTGTTGATTGATGAATCATTTCATATATTAAAAAGTATATAAAAATTTGATACTGTTTGATGTTAAGTGCATCATAAGAATAAAATTCCTTTATTCCAAATAGTTATAAACTAATCTGCTATTGCTGGCCATGAGGGCCGATAGATAGAGACGTGAATAGAAGAGAATGTTAAGATTGAAAAAATCTCTCGAGGTAAGTAAAAATACAGATGATGACTCATTATGTGAATTAAACGCAAAATTCCTTTATTATTTGAAAAGTATATGTTCACCGTTTGTTTTTTTACTTTAAGCGCATTGAAACATAAGCTAGATTTAATTTGTTTTATCTTTTTATTTGTTTATTTTAATATAATATGGAATTTTAAATAATAATAATAACTTAGATATACGATACGAGTTATAGTTTCTAAGTTTTTGTTCACAATAAATTTGATTGGTTGAGTGAATCATGGCTTAATTGGTTACTTCATAATTATTATAAAATTAAATTGTGGCATATGTTAGCAATGGAAACTTAATATAAACAACAATTGCGCATTTTGTTTTTGTTTTACATTAAATTTGCAACAGTAAGTTGTGATTTATAATTTGTGGATTTCAAGAACCAAAATGCGGTCGGCCGTGATGGAGTATTATGTGACGTCACATTTCAATAAACTAAAGTCAGCGTCTTTATAGAGAGTGCAACTAGTACTCGCGTTTATTGAAATGTGATCTTACGGCTCAAAATGTCACGTGACTGATGAATTTCGCAGGACAAATAAAATAAATGAATAATAATATGTTTTTTCTTTATTTAATAACACCTTTTTTTGGAAAATTAATCCAATAGTGGTTTACCTCTTATCTGTTAACTATCAAAATGACAATTCAAGCCCTTCTGTCGATCCCATTACAGGACTTTCCACAGACATTGGTTTGAGTACAAAATTTTAAAACTTTGGCTTAGAAAAACCAGGTTTTCTCTAAATCTAATAAGAATGTTGTACATTTAAATATATTTTTAATGTAATTTCTTACACTATATTTGACTTTGAACTGCATTACAATTATTCTATGACATATAAGTTACCTAAAACTTAACTTTTATTTTCTGATTTATAATAAAAATAAAACTATTGCTGGATGCCTAAAACTTAACTTTTATTTTCTGATTTATAATAAAAATAAAACTATTGCTGGATGTAGGTAATATTATATTTTTTATACAATCTTACTAATATCATAAAATAAAATAAACTAACATAAAATAAACCAAATAGCATATGTTTACATACATTTTTTTATACTGCACTAGTTTTTAAAATATGGACCATAAAAGTCCCTCATCAAATGTCACTTGAGTGGTTCTCATATTACATTAGTTAAAAATACAATCTTGATATCAGGGACGGGACGGGACATTGGAAAATGGTTATATCTAACATATCTGATGTATTAATGAATTAAAAATGGGCCTCACAGATGGTACAAAAAAAAACTGTCTCATAAAAAATAAGATTTTGCCAAATATGTACTTACAAATACTGTAATAATTAATTATTCATGATTTACTTAGAACTGGGCGTTAATTCCAATTAAAAAACTATAAATTTGGAAGAAAAATATCAAAAACCATGTTTATAAACATAGTGAAAATGAACATGTTTGTTTCATGAATGCTAAATTAGTATGAATACGACTTGTTAAAATAAAAATAATCAATATATTGTAGATTGTCTTTTTTTCGATTTTAGTTTTATTTAACCATAGCTTAGTATATAAAAAAATTACGATTGCGTTTATGAAGAAATACGATTAAAATAGTGTTACAAATAACTATCAAATAGATAATTTTACAACTTATCATGCCTAGATACCACATGTTGAAAAGACGATTCCGAATTGCATTGGTAACATTGGTAAACAGCCATTTAATAAGCCTACATGCACAGAAATAAAACATACACTACATAAAACACATAGAACAGCTTTTTTGTACTTCACACCTATATGGACGGATAGTGTGTGTGTGTGTGCGTGTGTGTGTGTGTGTGTGTGTGTGTGTGTGTGTGTGTCGTGTGTGCGCGTGCGTGTGTGCGTGTGTGTGCGTGTGTGTTGTTGTTATCTGTAGTGTCAATGTGAGGCGTGGTACGGCTCGTAACATGTGAAAACACACATTGCAACTTTACATGCTTTACAGTACGTGACCGTCAGTTTCTTGCAGACGGCGCATTGGCGCTTAAGTCGGTCTGGCTTTCCAGGCTTAATTAAATCGTACTGTGCCGGGATGTGTACTACTGTTGTGATGACTGTTGGAGTGGGTGCAGGTGTTCTGTGTGCTGTTAACAAATCCGTTATCAATACCTTCCGGAACTTTCTGTGTGTCAATGATTGATTTTTAAGTAAAATGTGTGAATTCAAAACACTGGCGTTCAAGAGTCTTCTAAAAATTTTTTTGTACCATACTCTGGTGCTCTTTCGTTCAATGGGGTACATTGAAAGTTGCTGATCTTTGCGATCTACTCCGCCCATACAAATATTATAGTCCTGCACGACAGTCAGCTTCAGAGTATCGCCGCACCTGGTAGTTGCAAGACCATGGTATGTTGAAATAAACGCCACGCGGTTTTTATCCCTCCACAGCATAAGATCCACATCTCCCGAAGTGCATCCGAAAACCTGACCGATAGTCATGTCTTTTTTTGTAATTCTCGCCAATTCAGAAGGTACGAATTGACGGTTTGTACAGAGCGTTCCCACGCAGTCAAATCCCAGGATCTTTAGTTCACGTGCTAGTGCGGGAGAGTTGTAGAAATTGTCCATCCATATTGTATACCTACCCTTTATGCTCCAGACCATTTAAAAGTCTGAGCACGAGAACTGGTACTATTCCAGAAACTGGATCGTCATCTTGTAGTGCCGAGGTGTCATGGCCAGCGTGTACTTCAAAACGCCACAGATATCCCGTTTGGGATTCACAAACTTCATAGGTTTTGATGCCGACTGTCGCTGCTTTATTACGGATGAATTGATTTATATCAAGCCCACCTTTCCACATGGTCAGACTCTCGTCAAGAGCCACATTTTGTGATAAATTATACAGCTGTGAAAATTTGCTATTTAGATGGTCTAATATTGGCTGAATTTTATAAAGTTTAGCCTGGGATCGTGTCAGCAATGAGGAATCACAACTGTGGTTATTGGTAAAATGCAGGCATTTCGACAGCAGCTGAAATCTGTCAAATGTCATCTCCGTGGAGTAGCCAGGAGTACTAAAAATATCTTTAGAGATAGACCAGTACTCCTCTAATCGGCTTTTGACTACCACTCCCATAGCCAGAACGATGGCAAGATACGTGTAAAGTTCGTTTATATTCGTATCTTGCCAACGAGTAATTCGGCTATTAGGACCGATGGTCCCACTCTCCAACATGCTCGATGCCAGCTGCTGTGCATAAATGTTGGTTTCCGTGACAATCACTTCCATAATTTCACGATCCCATATGGCAGTAAATGCTTCGTATGGATTCGTGAAAGAAAGCGTAGGACCACTTATTTGCGAGAATGGTTCTCGCCTCAAATGAGGTTCAATTTGAGGCATTGGAAACTCTCTCCAGTCAAATAAAAATTTATTGCTCGGCTCAATAGGAGTAGGCGGCACAGGCGTCGACGAGGCGGATGTCGGTGAAACAGATGGTGGTAAAACGGGCGTCGGTGAAAGCGTTGGAACACAAACGAATGAATGAGGCGGTTGAGGAGGCCACTCCAAAGAAATGCTGACGCAATTTTCCTCAACTTCCTCATCCTCTACGTCCATATACATTCTTGCCACTCGGGGCACTACTATAGACTCAGTAATCCCGTCTGCCTCTTCGTCAGACTCTTCCTCGCTGCCTGAAAGAAAAAAGTTATAAGTTCTGGTTTCGATTGTAATAAGTATTTGACTTCCGCGATTGCTAAAAAATAAAAGTTAACGTCAAAATACACTTACCATAAGTCTATCTAAGCGTCTTTAGTATACCGCTTATTTTGTAATCGCTGAGAGGTCTATCACTGGTTAAAGGGATTCTAAAAAAAAAGGAGAAAAGTATTTTAATCGACGCTAATAATTATTTGTATTGTGAGCGATATACCGAAATGAACTTACAGAGATCGACGCATTTTTGCGAGAGAATCACCAACTCTTGTTCTTCTGAAAATAAAAAATTATAAAGTACAAACACACAAAATATATAGGGTCAGGGAGGCAACAGTGACTCGGTCAGCTACAGTGGCTCAGCCGTGTGCCGACCTAAAGCGATAGGAATATATATTTGTCTCTTTTACCGATTCGAAGGTCTTGGTACCCGAGCACGTTTAAACCAGTTTGCTCGCCGGTCGAGCGCCGTGCGGAAGTGTGAGGGAGTGATTTCAGTTTTCGCGCCCACTAAATTACATTCTAAGGTGAGTTTCGATTGTTTTCATATTTTCTTATCGTTTGTTGCTATATGTAATAACCATCATATTTATCGGATAGTAAGTTTTATATTAATTGTCTTTAACCCGTATTTTGACTTCTATGTTTTACATCTCGGATGCTTTGATCAAATGTTTTCAAAATGGCGTAAAAGTACACAGTGACTCAATTTTTAAAGGTACACAGTGGCTCAATTTCAGTACTTTTATAGCTTATGTAAATTCAATATTTTTCGAACTTTTTAATCGTATTTTGTTATTTTATTTATAGAATGCCACGAAAAAAATCCGAGAGAAAAATAGGGAACTCTTCGTATGAAAAAATTAAAGAAGGTTTGCAGCTTATAAGGACCGGAGAATCTATAAGAAAAGCATCAACAAAAGTTAATGTACCGTTTGCTACACTTAAAAGATATTATTGGAAGACCAAGAACTGTGAGTCACTTGATGAATTGTTACCCATTCAGTTAGAACCTAACTATTCGGTCAATAAAATATTTACCGATAGCCAAGAGACTGCACTTAAAAACTATTATTCGCACTGTGCACTTTTGTTTTATGTATTGACCGCCAAAGAAAGTCGAAAAGTAGCATATCAGTGTGCTAAAATAAATAATTTGAAAATGCCTGCCTCTTGGGAGACGAAGCAAATGGCTGGCAAGGATTGGTTAATTTCATTTAGACGCAGACATAATATCACATTAAAAAAGCCTGAACCATGCAGCCTTAGTAGGGCAACAGCTTTCAATCAAAGCAATGTCGGGAAATTTTACGACAATTTAGAAGATCTGATATCACGAAACAGCGCTTTCTCTGATGGAACCAGGATATTTAACTTGGACGAAACATCCACGACGACTGTACAAAAACCACAAAAAGTGCTAGCCCCATTAGGTCGAAAAGTTATTGGTAAGGTGACTAGCGGAGAAGGAGGGACATTAGTTACGACGTGCTGTATCGTGAGTGCCAGTGGAAATTTCTTGCCCCCAGTCATGGTCTTTCCTAGAAAGAATTTTAAAGATCACATGATTAAAAATACACCAGCGGGAACTCTCGGATTGGCTACACCTACCGGATGGATGAATTCGTCGATATTTCCGGAGGCTATGAAACATTTCGTCAAACGTACAAATGCTTCGAAAGAAAATCCATGCATTTTAATCATGGATAACCATGAATCACATTTAAGTCTAGAAGCTCTGGATATCGCCAAAAATGCGGGAGTGCATATTCTGACTCTTCATCCCCACACATTGGATAAGTTGCAGCCCCTAGACGTTGGTATCTATGGTCCGTTCAAAACATACTACAACGCTACCATTGACTCCTGGCTGTTGCGAAATCCGGGTAAACCTGTAACAATTTATGATTTGGGCGAAATAATCGGATCTGCCTTTGAAAAGGCAATGACGATAAGAAATATTACAAATGCCTTCGCAAAGTGTGGTATTTATCCATTCGACCGACACATTTTCACGGAGGAAGACTTCCTTCCTAGTTCGGTGACTGACCGTCCTTGTCCAGAAGATCTACAGGATAAAGGTAATTCAACACCTGACTCCATAAGTATTCTCGAAGAGTGTGATCTTGATGCTCTTGTAGAAACAGCTGAACCAAATTTTATTACGCCACTTGATTTAAATATGTCATCTCCCGTTAAAAGTCCTGAAAAAGTCAATCTAAACAAAGCTAATGATGCAAAAGAAATATCTGAACCAATTTTTGATCAAACTGCTCACTTTTCTGGACAATCCACATCTCAGAATCTATCAGTCAATTTTCCAGATTCTACTAAAGAAAACACACCACCAAAGACAGCCAAAGAACTGTCTTTCAAATCGCCTTTTGATTTTCGAAATCCTATAAAAACTGGTCCAAGAAAAACTAACAGGAAACGAAGGAAGCCTGGACGTAGTTTGATACTTACCGACACGCCAGATAAAACTTTGATAGAGCAAAAAAATGCGGTTAAAAGAAAGACCGATGCAAAGAAAAGTAAAATTATACGAACGATATTAGATAGCGACGACGAAACAGAGGGCCTTGATGAAGTTCAATTAGCAGAATCCGACAATGACGAAGGATGGCTTGAATCACCAGCAGAAGATCAAGATAATAATGAGAATATTCTAAGAGAAAAAGATTTAAAGAATTCATTACCTTATCCACCCAAGGAAGGAGAATATGTTATAGTCGAATTGGCAACTAAAAAGCAGAGGTTGTTATATATTGGGAAGGTAATAGAAGAAAGAAATAATGACCTTGAATATTATGTATCATTTTTGAAACGCAAGGCTGGTACTTATAAGTTCCATATGCCTGTTAAACCGGATCTTTCCCTTGTGAAGGAAAATGATATAAAATATATTCTTCCAAAGCCTACATTAGTTGGTACGTCTTCTAGGCCATTCTACAATTTCCCGATTGATTTTACTCGTCTTATCATTTATTAGAAATTAGTTGATACTTTTTTATTACTCTGAAGATAATGCAAATGATTGTTGTTTTAATTATGTTATGTTGTTTTTCATAAACCATATGTTACCCAAATGGTTATTGTTATCGTTGATTGCTTAAAACATAGTATTTTCTAAGTGTAACAGATGTTAATACATCATTATATATGTTATTATTTTGAATAATTTTGATTTGAATAGTGACCATAGGTTGTTAATCGATAAAGAGAGACTAAAATTGTTAACGAAGAGACTGAGATGACTTAACATCTGATTATTTAGCGTTAAAAGTTCTAAGAGTTGTGTTGATTGATTATAAAAGTAGCTTGTAACATTTTTTTATTATTACTAATAAAAGATCTACGTGGAATGGGCATTTTCTTTTCTTATTCATACTGCCGAGTCACTGTGTACCACTAGAGCCACTGTGTACCACGGTAGTGAGTCAGTGTGTACACCTAGTTGTCCACAGTGGCTCAATTCCTACTCTCAATTAAGTAGTAAATAATGGAAAATCATGAGTGCTCAGTTACAGTTCAATAGTATATCTAAAATGTGAGCAAATTTTAGGCCAATGTTAGAGCCGTATTAATTTTTTTCAAGCTTTGGAAAAAAGTGAGTCCCTGTTGCCTCCCTGACCCTAAGTATAAAAATTTGTTTAATAAATACTTACACAGGCCGTTTGGTCATCGGTGTGCTCGTCCCGCTGCTCGCACGACATTCAACGTATCTACAATAAATGTTTTTTTTTTTAAATCGGTATAACAATAAAACGAAAGAAAAAAGAAACAAGTAAATAGTTACAGGGCAGGTGATGGCACTGACGACGGGGTCTCTTGTTCGCGAGAAATATATGGAGTTGATGGAGCGATAATCTCCAAGGATGACCACAAGGTTTTTGAACTGATAATAATTATTTTGCTACAACTTTAAATATATTTGATTATTTATAAAAGCAACGAATAAATTATACAATTAAATAAAATATAATATTAGTGCTTTTTTTTATTATTAAAAATATTTTAAACAATCAGAATGCTAACCTTGAGCATTTGGCCACAGGGCTAGGGAGGACCCTCACCCTTTTAGGGTGAATCGGCATTTCCAGAGGTTGGCCCTCTGGCAGGTTCTCCAACATACCACCAAATACTCTGAAATATTATGTTAGCATTAAAGAAAATATTAAAAAATTAAAAAGAAAATAAAAAAAAAGTTTAATTAAATAGAACAAATATTTTTTGGTTATAGTATTAAAATGCAAAGAAAACAATAGAAAAAGAAACATTAATAATAATGTCAAATGGATAAAAAAATAAAATCTGATTTGAAATTCAAAAGTCACATCTGTATTAGCCTACCAACAGTTGACACAGTGACACAAATTCACATATTTGTGGTGAAGTCCAGAACAGGGGCCCAATTCTACTAAATCGATTTTGTTTAAATCGAATCGAAAACGGATCGAAACCGAATGAAACTGCAGCTTTAGTGGTTTTCCTATTCTACTAAGTGACAAACGATACAATTCCAGTTCTATTTTAGTTTAGCTAACTTTCGATCAATAGATACTGTAAACGGTATTCTACTCGCTCGATCGAACTCATGGCCTTAGTACTATATGGATGTAGGTACGCAAACCGGATCCAACCCACAAATCTGTCATAATCGAGTTATATGTGCATAGAAGCGAGAGAAGAGAGAAAAATATACCAATTAAATTTACATATGTAAAACTTCTTGATAAATAAATAAAATAAAATACAATAAAATTTTATTAAAAAGAAACCCATTTTTCTCAAAACTGACAATGACATGGTTTTGTAAATGTCATTACTCTTATTAGAGCTGGTGAGTTTCTTGCTCGTTCTTCTTATCAGCCAAAAGACGTCCTGAACGAGTGGTAGGGAAAAAAATGTTGGACGATTCAAAAGTACTTTTAAGAAGTCTTTTTGAATTAAGATTATTTTGACTTTGACTTTACATCTATCAAAATTAACGATTTCTATTAAATTCTACCTTTTTGATGACCGATAGTTAGCATTTAATTGTAGATGTGAAACAATTATTATTATTTAAAATCTTAAGAGGTGCAATGAGTTGCCCCAATTGATGAGTGAAATAAAATTTAAAATTCCTCAATCCATCTTCAGAATCGATAATTAAAAACATTTTGCCCTACAGAACTAACTTCGGCCAATATATTTGTAGTGTTTGCGAGTGAGTTATCAATAGACTGTGTAAAGAACATAAAGAACATGTTTGCTTTATCATTAATTAATTATAAAAAAAACCTTATATTAAGAAATCACTTATATTAAGAAAAACCTTATAAAAAATTATAATCTTTAACTGTCTAGTACTTCAATAAATAATAATAAATTATTTATTTCACAAAGATACAAGGATACTTTCAATGAGCACCCCAACGTCTGAAGTAAATATACAAAACCTGGATATCAGACACAGGTTGCCACTTCTGTCTCATGAGAACATAGCAATCCATGTGATATAAATTATGTACTGGAAAAAAATGGAATCAAAAACAATGGAGCAGAATAAACAAGTGTGATAGTGTTGCATATGTTTAATAAACTTTTTATGTACACCATTTCATCTATTTGTCATAGATACTTTTGTAATTTTAATTTTATTTGCGGTTACTTATTTATATGTAAAAATGTTGGCAGACTTTAAAACTAAAATAATTTGTATTTTGAAATTTTTGTTAAAAAAATACATTTTATAGATAAATTCACTCTTCTCTCAATTTGACATGTTGAATTCATATATAGATTCTTAACATAAATCAGGTCAACCTAGTTTATTATAAATTAATATCCAAAAATTTATATTTCTGTTAAAACATTATATAATTATAGATAATCATAGTAAATAGGAACATTTAAATGCCATTATTAGGTTGTAGGGGCGCTTTGACATAAAGTGAACTTATCTATGTTTATAAAACATAATTTTTTGTATCTTAAACAGTAAACTATTATAGTAATTTTACAGGAAAACTTAATAGTGTGTATAAACAAGCATGTGTGGAATTCTAATAAAAATGTCATTGAAAAACTCATTGTTTACAATGCAATTTATTTATCATTTTTTTTTTTCTGATAACTTTTACATTTAAAATACTATATTGATATTTACCTTAAAGGAAAATATTTAAAAAACCCACCTCAAGCAAGTAGTGCTCTAACAGAGCGGTGGGATTCGAACCCATAAATACTGACAGTCTGGGCGCCTGCTCTAACCAATTTAGCAAACAGATAACCAGCAGCTTTTGTGAATTTAAGAATTACTTGCATTTCTAGTGCTTACTAGTACTAGTATATGCTCATTAATGTTTAGGAAGTTCACCAAAAATATATTAATCATACCATTATGATTATAACATTATAAAGGATTATCAAATCATATGTTTAAAGGAATATCAAGTAAAACAGGTAAATATACTGTGTTTATACAATTTTATTCTGAATTTAAAATATTACATAAAACTGATCTTAGCCCCAGCTCAGCCAGGTATTATGTAACATTTAGAAATAACATGAGCCTTTCTGTCACCATATATTAAGTTGCATAATAAATAAATGTTCAGCCTGATTAGTATTAGGTACACGAAAAATACATATAGGTACTTACTATGTTTGACACAAAGTTAAAACCAACCACCAATTTTAACCCAAAGAAAACTGTCATACGTTATGATGGGTTACAATCCAGGACAAAAAAATAATATCTGGCAGGAATTTGTAAGTTTTTGTATATCAGTTGAAACTTATAGTTAATTTACTCATAGTCAGTATGGACGAAAGCTGCGAACAGATCCATGAACCTACTAGAATTTAATTTGTGTACAACTTAATGTAAAAGACATGTCAAATCATTAAATAATTTTCTCTGATATTACTTATAATATAATACTTATATTATCCAGTTAAAAATGACAATTCTAATGGGTTTATGTAGTATTATTTGTAGTAAATTTGATCTACTATAGATTTTCGACAGTATAGATTATGTTGCCTAGCCTGATTCGGTGTACAGATGATGGTATAGCCAGATCGATTCGTAAAGTATTGCATTCATTTCATCATCAATTCTCTTTCAAATGTCTACTTTGAGTCGACTATCGTTTATTTACTCCACTAAGTTATTAATGGGTATATGGATATTTATTATCACTCAAACATTTCTTGTTTTGGCTTCCGCATAATTCTGTCAATTTCACGTGCATAGCCAATACATGGTATGAATTATTTTATGAATTTAACTTTGTAAATATTATTTTAAGTATAATGTTTCACTTCCTAATACAGTTTAATATTACAAAAAATACACATATGGGGTTCGTTTTAGTAGATATCCCATAATAAATGGTCATTTACAATTCAATTTCATTAAAAAACAAACAACTTTTCTATCACTGTATCGCTGTAGTCAGCTGTAGTTTGTATTGACATAAAATAGGTGTTGCAATATAAAAATCTAATATCGAGTCGAAAATTATCGATTATTTGTATTTAACCAACTATATAACTATTAATTAATTCACTATATATGTAATAGAACTGCAGTAACATTTATTGAACAAAGAAAACTCAGGGTTCAATGTTTACTTTCCTGCGATGCCGACGAGTCCAAAATATAGTTTTGGTTAACTTTGGTGTATTTTACAGTTACATAAGTCTTGGACTGATTGCATCCCTCACTTCTTACAATTTGTTAATAACTGAAAATGATTCAAAACTTTTCTGTTCACGACCTACCCATGTACGTACCGTATTTTTTCATAGAATCATATTATTCACTTTCAAGCTACTTTATCACAAAAACTAACACTTATTTTGCGAATCAAAATTATTAATTATTAAAGGGAGAAAAAGTAAAATGATACTTTAAGCACTTTTCGCTAGATGATGACACTACTGTATTTTTAAAACGGGATTTTGTTTATTTTTATTGTTCCTCTATTTTTTTTAAGTGACAGACTAATAACGAGATACTTTAATACTTATTCGAGGGCGTTAAATTATGTTTGCGCAAAATGTACTAAACTTCCGGTAATTATATACGACTAGAAATAAAAAAAAATCTTGATATAAGCTACTGATTATAGGAAACAGTATTATCAGTTATTATCTAAACTATGAGAAGAAGAAATTAGATTTGTTCGATACCTACAAATTGAAGAGAGGGCAGAAAATCCGTTGGCAATATATTATTTGGCGTCTTGCATTTAAATCTAAAACTAAAATGCTAAATTGAGAAAGCAAGAACAAGCTAACCGTCATGTTGCTTTCAGGAGTCTTGCACAAGCAAAACATCAAGCAGTTTTTAATATATATATTGTAATATAAATAAAGGGACTGTTTTTTTCAAAGAAAACTGTTTGTATCATTGCAAGACGTGTCGATTCTACTGCGTACTAAAATAGAAAGATGAACAACTGAATTATTCTACACAAAATAACACTTATTTTGCGAATCACAACTCGCTATTAACAATAAAATAAACTAACACCATTCGAATTTTGACACTTAACTCTTTGACGTTAGCTTTAGTCGCCGCCAGGATTCATAGTATTTCATCTCACTTTTTTGTTTATAAGACTTAATTATATCGGATTTATACTTTAAATTTTAAGCATATTTAAAGTTGAGTGCATAATAATCGTTAGAATCGGGTATATGACGCTTTTCTGAGAACTAATTTAAATAATTGTCAATATATTTCAAGATAATCTGTTCTATTTTCGATGAATATAATTGTTAAAGTCTGCAGATTCTAAGAAATAAACTTTTATTAGGTTATTATCGATGACAATAATACGCAACTTATTTTTATAGTGTTAAATACGCAAAATGGTGAAATATTAATTATAAATTCGCGTTTGGGATATTTTCTCTATAGTTTAACATTAAGATATCCACTTTCTTAATGTAGCTAATATTCGGGTGTTTCGTCCGTATTTAAAAACGTTCAAATAAGTGTAATAAGAATATAATACATAACATAATGAAAAGATAAAAAATTAACGAATGAATAATCATTATTCGTCTCTCGTTTAACCAATAGATTCATTTATTTTATCCTGGCAATGATAATGACAGCTGTATGGTTCTA